AAAAATGCCAAGGGTTGCCAGGAGTTGTTAACCCATTGTTGTAAGACTCCTCCGATTGCCGAGTCGGATGCGTCTACTGCGATGCTAATGGGTGCTCGGGTGTCCTGATGTGCGAGCATTGTTGCTTTAGCGATCAGTTCCTTAACTGTGGAGAATGCTTTTCGTGCGGTGTCGTCCAAATTAATGGATTTCGCATTTCCACGAAGTTGGTCGGTCAGAGGTTTCATAAGTAATGCGCATTTCGGTATGAAACGTCTATAGAAACTTACCAGGCCGTTGAACGTGCGTAATTGCTTGACGGTGGTCGGTTCTGGGTAATCCAGAATGGCCGCCACTTTGGTTCTAAGGGGTCGGATACCTTGAGCATCGATAGTGTGTCCCAGAAAGTCTAACGAGTCGGTTCCAAATTGGCATTTCTGAACGTTTACAGTTATGCCATGTTTTTGTAATCGTTCGAAAACAAGGTCCAGATGCTTGAGATGTGTTTCTCTGTCCGGACTTGCGATTAGACAGTCGTCAACATACGCGTGTACGAAGTTGAGACCTCGAAAAACGTCGTCTATGAATCTTTGGAATGTTTGAGCAGCATTCCTTAGACCGAAAGGCATTCGCAAAAATTCATAGAGTCCGAAGGGAGTTATGATAGCTGTTTTCGGTATGTCGTCAGTAGCCATAGGGATTTGGTTATACGCTTTAACCAAGTCGATTTTCGAAAAGACAGTTGTACCTTTCAAGGTAGCTGTCAAATCGTGAATGTGAGGCAACGGGTAACGATCGGGAATGGTTTTCGCGTTCAATCGCCGATAGTCACCAGTTGGACGCCAATCGTTGCTGTCCTTTTTAGGGACCATGTGCAACGGAGATGCATATGGGCTACTTGACGGTCGTATGATTCCTAAGTCTATCATATGGTCAAGCTCGTTTTCCGCCGACCTTAGCTTTTCGGAAGCTAGTCGTCGTGCTTTAGAGAATACGGGTGGTCCTGTAGTCATGATGTGATGTGTAACGTTGCTGGTTACACACGGTAATTTCGGTTGCGTTTGGTATATCCCAGAATACTTTTCCAGTAGTGGTCGATAGAATGGGTCTATAGTGTGCTTAATTGTGACTGGTGACGATCTTCAAACAGAACAAGGAGTTACGCAAACATATATATTAGTATTTCCGTTTACTAGCCTCCGTTCGCGCGTATCGATGAGTAGATTATGGTGTTGTAGAAGGTCTATACCAACGAAATATCTGCAACAACAAAGATCCAGTGAATGGGTTTGCGTAAACCCACGTTAAGGTTAACGTACCTTTTGCCATACGTAGCGATAGGATTTCCGTTTGCCGCCTGTAAGTTTAGAGCCGATTCGTGAAGCCGGTCGTTGGGATTCGCTGGGAGAACGCTAACTTCTGCGCCAGTGTCGACGAGGTAGTGAATTCTCGTTGTCACATCTGTGACGTATAACAGACGGCTATGTTCGCTGGCTACGGTTGCCGCTAACGCATGCCGGCTTGGAAGTTTCCCGAGTTGTTTTTCGTGTCGGTCGATTTTGAGTCGGGAAAATTGCAGGGTTCTCTGCAATTTCTGGAGGACTTTCCATGGTGGTTATGATACCAGCACCAGTCGGGGTTATCTGTCTCTCGTGGTCTATAGACAGATCGCTTACGTGAAATGCTTCTACGTGGAGTGCGCGATCTCTTACGGTCGGTACGAAGATTAAGATAACGCGTGAGTGTATGACATAACTCGGTTATGTCATTTTGAGTCGTTTGAGGCTTTTCTTTGACTGAAAAAACCTCCGTCGTAGAAGATTTCGTAATTTCTAAAATGCGGTCGGCAGATGCAGCTAGCTCGTCTAAGGCGTTGTTCTGAAACGAGACCAGAACTGCTTGCACCTGTTGGGGAAGTTTTGACAAGAAATGTTGTTTAAATAGGCCATCATCGAAAGTTCTTTAGCCTATAACCTCTCTCATCCGTTGCAACATGTCCGTCGCTGAGCCGTGTTGCGGGTCAATATTAATAAGGAGTTGGTCTAACCTTTGTCTATCGGTTAGGTCCCCTCGTTTAAGAATCGAACGTTTCAAGATTTCGTAAGGTTTGGAAACATCACTAGTGAACATACTAAATGTTACGTATCTGTTGAATTCGCGCGGTAGTGCCTTGACTACTGCGAGGAGTTGTGCACGTGTGTCGATCACGCCGTGCTCGGAGAAGTCGGCTTCTGCGCAGCAAAACCAGGCTTCGATGTTGTCGGGCCAGAAAGGCATGAACTGAAACGAAGGCGGGGACAAAGTCTTAAGCTTGAGTACTTTGGGTGTCTGTTCAGTCATGATGAAATATGAAGTACGATAATGAACGAGGGGAAAAAATATATATATCCAAGAAAAAACACGACAAAAATCACAATGTTTAAAAAATAAAAAAATAAGTCAATTATATATAAAAATCCCAAAAAGGAACAGACTCACAGTTGCAATTAGGTGTACCAGATCACGTCGGTCTCACCAATGATGATGTCACAGGTATTCAGTGTTTGACAACGCTTCTACCAGTAACACCTTCTAATATGATTTGTACCCACCGAGAGAAATCAAAAGACAGAGTCGAGGAGATCGGAAGAGTGTATTTGGCGATAACCAATATATCGGAATTCTCTGATCTAATCCGGCTAGCGATTGCGGTTGATGTTGAGCACGGCGTTACCACACGTGATCTGGTACGGATGTATGACCGAGCGCCTTCAGCTAGATGAGTCCACTAAAACATATGGTCAGCATCCAATGTCGAAAACTTACAGGGCTATTTATTCTGGGGATTTATTTACCGCTACAAAATCATGCCCCAAGAGTACCAAGGCCCATCGCTGAAGACGATTTGCAGAATGGGCTGGAATGCCAGATTTCGACCCGAATATTGCGAGCAGGGGCTTGTGATCTATGAGAAGCGTAAATCTCCTACCTTACAGAAACTTGTGGAAGCGTCGAACAGCAAATGCAAGTGCAAGGGCCTCTTTTTTTATCTTACTGCATTTCTTTTCTGCAGGGATTAGTGTACGGGATGCATTCATAACAGCTTTTTCTGACGCATCTGGTAACTGATGTGAAATAACAGTACCTAGGCCATACGCTGAAGCGTCTGCAGCTACGATGATCGGCATAGATAGATCGTAGTGCGTTAACAACAATTCCAAGCTAATAATGGACTTGAGTTTACAAAACACCGTATCACACTCTCTAGTCCAGTTTCATGTGCTGTTCTTCTTCAGCAGACGATTCAGTGGTGCGCGAATATCATGCACCGAAGGAAAGAACGCTGCGTAATAGGTAACAAGTCCCCATGGAGGAACGTAGTGCCGAGACATTGGTGGGAGTCGGCATCAGTTTGACAGTTCGAATGTTCTCAGGATCCGGTCTGCGGCCGTCAGCGTCAAAAATGAACCCCAAATAATTTACTCACTGCAATAAAAAACTGGCATTTCTCTGGGTGTAACCGGAACCCATCATCACTGATACGTTGCAGCAGCAATGTTGTGCGTTCGTGTAGCTGCACTAATGTCGTCACAACAACTAAGATGTCGTCAAGATAAACCGCGACTCCCGAGATAGTATGGCATCCACTAGTTGCAGGAAGTTAGATTGGACAGTCTTGACTGCAAAAGGCAGACGGTTATACTGAAACAACCCACCATGAGTATTGATAGTAAACAGCTCTCTTGATGCTTCATGTACTTCCACTTGCAAGTAAGCATCAGCTAGATCAAGTTTTGCGAAAAACTTTCCCTCATCCATCATAGTAAAGAGATATGCGGAAATGGAAGAGGATAATGATGCTGTTTCAGACCTGTAGAAAAGTCAGCACACATACATATTCTGCCGTCGGCCTTCTTGATAACAACTATAAGTGCTTCCCAAACAGAGTAAAAAAACGTGCAAATAACTGCTTGTTGTTGAAGGCGATTCAATTCTTCATCTACTGTAGGTAATGTTGCATAAGACACGGGTCTTTTTGGGCGGAAAACAGGCTTAACCCCAGGTTTCAACCAAAGCATTGCTTTCAAGGCAAAAGACCGACCCGATCCAGGTTGGAAAATAGATAAAAACTGCGTCACTTGCTCCTTCGTATATGCTTCAGGGTCGTGTGGTTGTGATACCAGGTGGCATATGGTATTTAGCAGAAAATCAGCTAACTCTAGCTGGTCGAACCAATCTGAACCAAGTAAATTTAGGTCAGCTTGCGTTATATAACATACCCCGGTAAATGTGGAGTCGTGAAAAAACATTGTACAATCTAGTTGTCCCAACAAACTTAGGTGATTACCGCATGCAGTACAAGGTTTTTGTGTTGTTGGCACGGTACGTGGTCTGCTCATTCTGATCCAAGATTTTTGTGAGAGAATTGTCACGTCAGATTCAGTGTCTATTTGCAATGTAAACGGATGCCCATTAATATTAAGGGTAATAAATTTCCTCTCACCTGGGGTTGAGTTTTGGGAGGTTGCTACTAGACTCAACGAATTTGTGCAGGATTTAGGGACAAGTTTCCTGGTACTTCTGGAGCTTTACACTACGTGCACTGATGTTGTTTATATGGGCAGCTTCGAACAAAATGCCATGTACCGCAGTGCCAGCATGGGGTAGGAGGATTTATTTTTGCCTGTTGATCTGAACTAGGTGTAGCTGGGGCATTTCCAATATCAGTGAGTGTCAGTTCGGGGTCTTGGTCTAATGGACTATTCAGCCGTGTTCTGATGTCACTAAACTTCTGCGATTGGAGAGTGCGGATTAGAATTGGTCTTCAATCAGCGATTTCAACCGGAAGCGTTTGCATTCGCGGTCGGCGATACCCACATACATGAGAAAATCAGCGTCTTCGTTCATAGTCAGCTTCAAACATTGATAACGTGAGTTGAACAGTGAAAAGTTATCTCCAAACTGTTCGCTCAGTGATTGGACGGTGTCCGAGAATGAGCGGTCGCGTGGGTTTAGAGGCAGAATTAAGTTACAATATCTAT